AGCCCACGGGCCACGCAGACTTACCAGAGCCCACGCAGAGCTCAAGAGGCAGCAGCAGAGGAGAGCCGCCGTGATGCCTCCCACGGGGACGGATGCCTCCATGGTCCCACCGCGCCGCTCGGATGGGGACCTCAGGGACTGTGAGCTGGAGAAAGCAAAGCCTTCACCTGGGGACAGCCAAATTGCTGCCGGCCTGGGGCTGCAGGTGACGGAGAGGGCTGGTGCGTTCGGCAGGACAGAGCATCTTCTGGGAGCACCTTCCCGGCTGCGGTCCCCGTCGAGGCGAGGTGGCGGCAGGGACACAGCCCGTCCCCAGGTGCTCAGGGCTGGGGGAGCACCCCGAGGTGAGTCCCCTGTCCCGGTGGGCACTGTCCCGGCACTGCTATAGAGAGCCGCTCGCAGGCTTACCAGGCAGGGGGGGTTCTCCCCCCATAACGCTGGCTGCTATTCAGTCTCCGTGTCTCGCCTGCTTTAAGCAACTCCTGGAGCATGTGCAAACAATTCCCGTTCGGATGGGGATGGCAGAGGTTTATTGGCTTAGCCCTAGGTGCTAAAATCCTCTTCATTCAAGGCAGATTCCTCTTCTCTTTTCAGAAACTTCTCTCACTGGCTGGTGGCTCATAGCATCCCCCCCACTGCCCCCGCGCTGCTCGGTCCCCTCCAGCCCCAGACTGGTCCCAAGGAGCCGAAGGACCTTGGGGAAAATCCCAGCGAGGTGGCTGGAGGTAGGGAGGCAGAGAGTGCAAGCACGTGAGCATCACCTCGGCACTGATGCTCCCGAGATGGGATGTCTTTCAGGCAGATGCCAGTTTAACCCTTTTCCTTCTCTCGGGGTTGGGGGTGTGTTTTGGGGAGACGTGCTGGGATCAGTCCTGCTCCCCAGTAGGACAAGCACCTCGCTGCCTTTGTGCGTTTGCTTTGCAAAGGCATTCAGCCTTCTGCGGAGGGGGGGCTGATGGCTAAACCAGCCAACTGACCGACGGACGGTCCTGGCAGCAGGGAGTTTCCACTCCGATGGGTGCTTCATGCAGCCCGTGAATGAGATAAACCGTCAGAGCCGGTCCCACCGCAGCTGACACCGTCAGAGCGGTCCCTTGTCACCTGCATCCCCACACAGGGAGGCCCCGGGGCTGTCCCCTGTGTTTCGGGATCATGCAGGTTCCCGGCTTGAACCTCCCAGCTCGAACGCCTTGTGTCCCCCCAGCAACCCGGGTGTCCCCCTGGGGAAACGGGGGCCCAGAGCGGGGAGTCCTTGTTCCCCGAGCAGGTCGTCATTAGTGGGATGAGGCTGAAATTCAAAAGCCCAGTGCCAAACCCTGGGAACAGCAGTCTCCGGTCTCACCACGAGCCTCACCCCTGGCCCATGTAATCCATGGCCGGGTGCAGCTATTGCTGCCTCCCTAAGGGCAAAATCCTGCGCAGGGCAGAGCCCCCGGAGCCTCCCGCGGGGTTTTCCTGCCAGGCCGGCTCGTCCTGCTCCCAACCATGAGCCCACGAGCCCCCGGAGGAAGGTCAGACTTTTGCTCGGCTCCTGCGGCGAGGGAAGGCGTATCAGCCGGCCGAGAGAGCAAAGCAAATCCAAATGACAGCGCTCAGGAGGTGCTGCGGCTCCCTCTGATTAAACCCGACAGGAAAAAAGCCTCTGGGTTGCTTTCCCTGCCGCGGCAATCAGCTGTAAATCAAGGAGGGATTAGGGGCATCTTCGGCAGCT